TCCGTGTCCGTGACGTAAACTTCTCCCTCGCTGATGAAGCCACGACCTTTCTCCCCCGTGGGCTCCAGACGCGACGTGCCAAGGGCTTCTCTCACGTCCTCCAGCATGGCCCTCGTCAGGGGCTTGCCGGGGGGTGTCGGTATTACTCGAAGACCACCTGTCATCGCTGTCTTTCTCCTTTTTTATTCTCTCTCTCTGTTTCTAGCCCTCTCTTTTCTTTTTTGCTTTTTGTGTCTTGTTTTGCTTTCCTTCTAGCGCGGTCTGGTAGGGTTGAGCGATGTTATTTTTTTTTATTGATGTTTGTGTTACTATTATCAATATTACTATTTTGTGTTGTTTTTATTCATGTTGTCACGATTATTATCGTAATTTTAATGTTACTTTCTTTTCGTAGATTTGAATGTTACTTTAACTTCTTAACTTCTGATGACAGAAAATAAGTAAAATTGAGAAGGAAATTTATTACTAAAATCTTTATTCTTTAGCTTCGAGTAAGTGATAAAGTATCGGTAAGACATGGCAGCATTATGAACACAGATTAAGATAAAATACTAGCACTGAATAATACTTTCATGCTTATGAGTTTACTTTAAAATTAAGAGATGGGAATTTATTAATCTTAAGAAAGAACTGCACTTAGATCTTTAAATCACCTTTCTCAGTTAAGAACAAATAAAACTCAAATAAAAAAAAAACGCATCACAGTAATCACATAATTACAATCATACTTAGCACCTCACCAAACCAGACATTAATTAATTTCTTATCATATCCTGTCGACATGTTAACACCATATCGCCATCACACAACGCTAAATCCAACCTTTTGCAACATTGCACTTCTTAATTTCTCATTCTTTAAAGCATTATACTACTCTCCTTTACAAAAATAATATCCCTCAACCTTTTGCAACACTACACTTCTTTATTTTTCATTCTTTAAAGCATTATAGTACTCGCCTTTACAAAAACAATATACATACCTTAAGAGAAGCGAAAGACTGCATCCACCACGAGGTCTGAGCTGCGTATGCCTGGTGGAATTAGATTTGTTAGGCAACTTCGACCGAGTCATACGTGTACGGAACCAGTATCGTTCTTGTTCGCCTCGTTGCTAGATGTGTCCGTTTTGTAGGATTGTTTATTCTTTTAGTTTATAGGTGTCGGTTTGTCTGTGCGTATATCTGTGTGTATGTATTCAATCTCCTTCTGTTTGCCTCTGTCTGCCTCACTGTCTGTAGATATGTATACACCTCTCTCTCTCTCTCTCTCTCTCTCTCTCTCTCTCTCTCTCTCTCTCTCTCTCTCTCTCTCTCTCTCTCTCTCTCTCTCTCTCTCTTTCTCTCTCTCTCTCTCTCTCTCTCTCTCTCTCTCTCTCTCTCTCTCTCTCTCTCTCTCTCTCTCTCTCTCTCTCTCTCCTCTCCTCTCCCTCTCCCTCTCCTCTCTCTCTATCTATCTCTCTATCTCTCTCTCTATCCATCTATCATATCTCTCATTCTCTCTCTCTCTCTCTCTCTCTCTCTCTCTCTCTCTCTCTCTCTCTCTCTCTCTCTCTCTCTCTCTCTCTCTCTCTCTCTCTCTCTCTCTCTCTCTCTCCATCTATCTATCTCTCTCCATCTATCTATCTCTCATTCACTCACTCTCCCTCCCTCTCTCTCTCTCCTCTCTCTCTCTCTCTCTCTCTCTCTCTCTCTCTCTCTCTCTCTCTCTCTCTCTCTCTCTCTCTCTCTCTCTCTCTCTCTCTCTCTCTCTCTCTCTTCTCTCTCTCTCTTCTCTCTCTCTCTCATTCACTCTCTTCCCCACACTCACTCACTCACTCACTCACTCACTCACTCACTCACTCACTCACTCACTCACTCACTCACTCACTCACTCACTCACTCACTCACTCACACTCTTTGTGTGTGTGTGTGTGTGTTTTTGTTTGTTTGTTTGTTTCTTTTTGTTCGTTCGTTATTCACATGTTTTTCATTCCCGTTTTCTGTTACTCTATTGTCATAGAAAAAAACGTAATATTTTGGCATAAACTATAACAAACTTGCATTAATATCATATTCCTTTAAAATTTGGTCAATTTTATATATATACAAAGAATGTTCCAAGTAAATTAAATTGTTTCTGTTGTGACCAAACAAGGTACCAGAATACCTACAAGATCAACTCCATTTCTAAACTTGTAGTATTCGCTTTAAAGAGAGAGGGTGAGGATGAAGGAGAGGGAGAGGGAGAGGGAGAGGGGGAGGGAGAGGGAGAGGGAGAGGGAGGGGGAGGGGGAGGGGGAGGGAGGAAGGGACTGAGGGAGGGAGGGAGGGAGGGAGGGAGGGAGAGAGAGAATGAGAGAGAGAGAGTGAGAGAGAGAGAGAGAGAGAGAGAGAGAGAGAGAGAGAGAGAGAGAGAGAGAATGAGAGAAAACTATTAGCCTGACTGTCTATCTTTCTGTCTTACTATCTGCCTGTCTTGGACAGACGCAGGCAGCCCGAGGCCGAAAATAAAGGAAAACA